AGATCAAGCACAACTTGGAAACTGACCACCTGTGGTAGTCACTAGTCTATCACCCTCACCCTTAAACCATTTGAATTAAATTGAAATCAAGAAGCAGTCCAGAACATGTCTGCAGTGAACAAACTTTTCAATATAGTATATTTACCATTTAATGGCTCAGACAGAGCTAGGACACAAAACCCCTGATCTCAGTTAGCTGATAGCTGAACCCCATGATGCAGATTGACCTTGGGCTGCAAGGCCCAGATTGAGGTCCCAAACCTTCTGAATGGTTGAACTCCACACTGTTCTACTACAGGTTTCACATGCTCTTCCTTTAAAGATGTTCAAAGTTGTGAAATCAGAAAAATACCCTTTATGACCACCTCTGTCTCTGCAGAGTGGGTCCAAATGCTGGCACAATCAGGAGGTCTGAGAGTGAGCGGGGTGGGTGGGAGAGTAAGGGCAGTTATGGGGGTTCAGGGACACCCACGCAGCTACCTTCCCAGTGCTGGAGCGATGACTGCTCAAGGCGGGAGAGGGTGTGGCTCTCCTTCCTGCAGTGGATCAGGGCCCAGGCTACCTTCCTGGTGCTGGAGGATGACAGCTCCAGGCGGGATAGGGTGTGGCTGTCCTTCCCACAGTGGATCGGGGCCCAGATTCCCTTCCAGGCACTGGAGGATGGCGGCTCCTGGGTCTAGTTTTAATCTTTGGCAAGTAGAATGCCAGTTTTTCCAACACCATCTATTGAAGAGGCTACCTTTCCTCCACTGAGCATGGTGGCTCCTTTGTCAAAGATGAGGTAGTTGAATACATCTGCAAGTGATTCTGCATCTAATAATCTATTCCATTGATCTTCGTGTCTGTTTCTTTGTCACTACCATGCTGCTTCTATCATAGCGGCTTTGTAGTATAGTTTCAAGTTGGGGATTCTGATAACCCTTGCCATGTCTCTGTTGCCTAGAATGGCATTTGCTATTCCTAGTCTCTTCTAGTTCCAAAAGAATTTTTGGATTTTTTTCTCTAGTTCTGCAAAATATGCTGTTGGGATTTCCATCAGGATTGCATTGAATCTGTACACCAGTTTTATAAGTATGGATATTTTAACTATGTTGTTTCTTCCTAACCAGGAGCAAAGGATGACTGTCCATTTTCTTTTATCCTCTTTGATTTCTTTTTACAAAGTGGTGCAGTTTTTAGTATAAAGGTCTTTTGCTTTCTTTGTTAGAATGATTCCTAGATATTTTATTTTTTGAATGCTATTGTGAAATAAATTGTTGTCCTAATTTTTCACTCAGTGAGCCTCTTATTTGAATACAAGAAGGCTACTGATTTTTGAGTATTGACCTTGTATGCAGCTCTTCCACTGAATCTGTCAATTAAGTCTAGATATTTTTTGGCTGAAGTTTTTGGGTTTTCTATGTAGATAATCATATCATCAGCAAATAATGACAGTTTAACTTCTTCCTTTCCAAACTTATTTATTTTATTTCTGTCTCTTGTATAATTGTTTTGGCTAATATTTCCTGAAATGTACTAAACAGAAGTGATAGTGGACATCCTTGCCTTGTTCCTGATTTCAGCATGAAGGTTTTCTGTTTCTTACCAGTCAGTGTGATGTTGCCCATTTGTTTTTCATAAATAGGCTTATCAAGTTGAGAGAAAGCTGATCGATTCAAATTTTCTACAGTTTGTATCATGAATGGGTTATAAATTTTTGTTGAATGCTTTTTCTGCATCTATTGAGATGATCATGTGATTTTTAACCTTGACTCTGTTAGTATAGTGTATTACATTTATTGATTTACATATGTTAAACTACCCTTGCATTACTGGAATAAATCCAACTTGTTCAGGGTGCATGATCTTCTTGAAGCCCCTCTGTATACTGTTTGACAGTATCTTATTGAAGTTTTTTTCAACTATGTTCATTAGGGAAATTTGGTTATAGTTCTCTTTTTTGGTTAGGTCTTTCCCTGGTTTTGGATTCAAAATAAAACTTAATTCTGGGAATGAATTTGGAAGTATTGCTTCAATTTCATTGAAAAGTTTAAAAAGTACTGGCATCACCTCTTTCCTAAATGTTTTGTAGAATTCAGCAGTGAAGACTTCGGGACCTGAGCTTTTCTTTGTTGGTAAATTTAAAATTATATTTTCAATTTCACTGATATTAATTGGGGTGTTTAGAATGCTTTTATCTTCTTTAACTTTGTTAATTCATATGTATCTAGAAAAACGTCCATTTCTTCTGTGTTTTCGATTTTATTAGAGTATAGCCTCTTTAAGTAGGCATTGATGATCCTCTGGATTTCTTCTAGATCTGTTGTGACTTCACCTTTTTCATCCCTAATTGCATGGATTTTAGCCCTTTCTTTCTTTCCTTTTTCTTTTTTTTTTCTTTTTTGGTAAGGTTGGCTAAGGATTTATTCATTTTATTTATTCTTTCAAAAAACCAACTCTTTGATTTGTTGATTTTTTTGTATTGTCTGCTTAGTCTCCATTGAATAGATTTCTGCTCTGATCTTTATCATTTCTTCCCCAGTGTGAGATTTCAGTTTGTCCTGCTCTTCTTTTTCTATGAATTTAAGGTTCAGCATTAAGTTCTTTACTTGAGCTTGCTCAGCTTTCCCAGTTTGGGCATTATCTGCTATGAATTTGCCTCATATAACTGCTTTCAATGTTTCCCAAAGATTCCTCTATTTTATATTAGCATTGTCATTTATTTGAAAAAACTAGATAATGTCTTCTTTAATTTCCTCTGTGACTCACTGGTTGTTTGGGAGAGTGTTCTTCCATTTCCATGTGTGTGTTTGCATTTTTAAGCTATTGATCTACAATTTTAATGCACTATGTTCTGATAATATCCATGGATAACTTCAGTTCCTTTACATTTACTTAAAACATGTTCTATGAGTTAGTATGTAGTCTATTTTGTAGAATGACCCATGTGCAGCTGAAAGCAATGTATATTCTGATTTGGGGGGGTGGAACACTCTGTAGACATATATTAAGACCATTTGTTCAAAAGCTTAGTTCAATTCTAGTATTTCCTTGATGATTTTTTGTCTAGGTGATTTGTGTATTTGTGTCAGTGGAGTATTGGAGTCCCCCACTACAATTGTGTTAGTGCTTATTTGGTTTTCCATATACCTTAATAATTGTTTTACATTGTTGCTGGCATTAGTATTTGGTGCACTTATATTTATGATTGTCATCTCTTCCTCTTGGATTGTTCCCTTTACAATGATATTGTTAATTTCTTTGTCTCTTTTAATTAGTTTTGGTTTCAAAATTAATTTGTCTGTGAATAAGATAGCTACCCCTGGTTTTTTCAGGGTTCCAATCACATGGAAAACTGTTTTCCATCTTTTACTTTCAGTCTATGAGTTTGTTATTGACCTAGATGCATTTTTTGTATACAGCATGTTGTTAGATTTTACTTCATAATCCATTCTGCAGTCTATGTCTTTTTGTTGCTCAATTTAGGCCATTAATGTTGATAGTTTTTCCTGTTATATATATTGACTTGACAACGTCATGTCATTATACTGTTGTTGGCTATTTTTAATTTTTCCTCCTAACACTTTGATTTCTTGTCTTGCCTAATGGCTTTGCTCTCTTGGGCCTCATGGAGTTGTGACATTCCTTGTGTTTTTCTAGGATATTTGAAAAATTTGTTTGTAGTGCTAGTTTGGTATTCATGATGTTTCTCACGTGTTCTTGTCATGGAAGTATCTTATTTCCCCATCAACTTTGAAGCATAGTTTTGCAGATTTTGTCAGTGTGGATTGGAGGTTGTTTCCTTTTATGTTTTGAGATATCTCACTCCAGGCTCTCCTTGACTTGAGGGCTTGTGTTTAAAAGTCTGCTGTGATACTGGTGAGTTATTTTTTTGTTATGTGATTTGTTTCATTTCTCTAATTGCTTGTAGTATTTTGTTCTTCTGTTGGGTTTCTAGGATCTTGATTATTACATGTCTAGGTATAGATTTTTTTATCATGGCTACTTGGAGTCCTATAAGTCTCACTTATACTTATGTCATATTCTTTTCCCTTATTATGAAAGTTTTCTGCTATTACAACTGTGAAAAGTTTTTATAATATTTGTACTTTCTCCTGCTTTTTTATGAACTCCAATTAATCATATTATTCTTCTTTGCATCATCTAGGAACTGTTTGAATTGATTTATCGTGGTCTCTTACTATTTTAAAGAGATCTCTCTTTACATGGTCACTGACTCTTACTTTTATATCTGATATTCTGTCTTCAGATTGTCTCAGTCTGTTGTGCATATATTCAATAGAGATTTTTTTATCTCCTGGATATCTGAATTTTTTTAATGGACCCATTTCTTTCCTATGCTGGACATTCAAGTCTTCTATGATGATCCTGAATTCATCTTTTTAAATGTTTCTGTTCTAGAATTTTTAATCATATCTTTCATTCTACTCACCATCTCTGTAATTATCTGGGAAATTATTTCTGTTTTGAATTTTTCTAGAGCTTCATTCATCTGCTTTGTGACTCCCTGGACTATCAGTTCATGGTGTCCAGATGTGGAGAGCATGTCTGCCTAGTTTGCTGAGATTGAGCCCAATTGTTGTTTTAGGCTGATATAGTTATTTTATCTTGCTAGATAAGGAGTTTGCCTGCTTTGCTATAATCATAATGATTTATATATGAATATGAGATGTAAGACATGTAATGGAGGATCGCGAGATGGTGATTTCTCCACACTGGCCATAGTCTGTTACACTAGGAAAAATCCTTATTGGAGGAATAGTTGTTGTCATGGGGCGTTGCCTAGTGTGGAAGAACTCTAGTCTATATAAGGAGGTATATTCCTTTGTTTGAGTGCCTTCTCCCTACTTTCAATAAAGCCTCAGAAGGATCCTGGCTCGCGTGTCTACTTGCTGGCAAGCGGCGCGCGACAACTGGTGCCGAAACCCAGGAACGAACGATCTCAGGACAAAGATTCAGAACAGGCGACCTCGCTCTGAGAGGTAATTATCTCGATAGATATGGGAGTGTCTGCTTCTTCACCCCTGATAGGAACCTTGAGTACGCTAGTAAAAGTAAGAGGAGTAAAATTGTCAGAACATGTGTTGAAAACTTTTTTGCAGGAGATTAAAAAGGAAGCGCCCTGGTTTGAGACCTCTGGGTCCTTTGACAGACAGACTTGGGGTAAATTAGGCACAGAGTTAAAGTTAAAAAGAGAACAGGGGCGTCTTCGAGTGGGAATATATCCAATATGGAAAATTATTGATGCATGTTTTGAAGATGAGAAATGTTTAGATGTGTTGAGAGATGGACAACTGGCTCTCGAGGAGCATCGAGATAGTTTATCAGAAACAGAGGAGGGTAAAGATGAGAAAAGAGAAAACAAAGAGAAACAGAGCTCGAGCCGAACAGAAAAGGAAAGAAAAGAGGAAGTTCTGGGGCTCAACAGCCTGGGTCCTAGACGGCTGGGGGAGGATAAAAGGCTGTATCCTTCTCTAGCAGAATTTAAGCAACAAGAAGCAGTTAAAGAAGCAGTTAAAGAAGAAAATAAAAATCAGTTAACATTAGTGAGTAATTTTCAGAAACTAGAAATGAACCGCACCTCTTCTACTTCCTCTTCTGACGAGGAGGAAGAAGAAGGAGCTCCGCCGCCGTCTTGGCGAAAACAGGAACCAAAAAAGAGGGAAGTTAATCCGCCATTGCGGAGAGTAACAAAGAATAGGGAAGTTATGCCGCCATTCTGGGAAGCAACAGAAAAGGGGGGAGTCATACCGCTATCTCAGGAGGCAGCTGAAATAAGACCTTCAGCGCCACCTGGTGGGCAAAATCTTTTGTCTTTTTGTACAGCTAAGAGTAGAAGAAAGATAGCATTGGCTTTTCCTGTCTTTGAAGATGCCAATCAACAGAGATATCATGAGCCAATATCTCTTGAGCATATTAAATCTTTGGTGGAGGCAGTGAAAACCTATGGAGTTAATGCCACCTACACACAGGCCTTGGTGGAGCGCTTGAATAGTTTAGCCATGACGCCTAGTGATTGGTCTGGATTAGTAAAGGCTTGCCTAGGTATGGGCCAATATTTAGATTGGAAATCTTTATATCATGAAGGCTGTGTCTCACAAGCCCGAGAGAATGCTTTGCAAGGACAACCTGTTTGGAATTATGATATGTTAGCAGGTCAAGGGCAATGGATTGCAAATCAGATAGCCTATCCTCCAATGGTATATCAACAAATTAATAACATCGCCATTCGGGCCTGGAAACATCTGCCCAATAGGGGAGAGGTTAGCGGTAATCTTACAAAAATCATACAAGGTCCTACAGAACCCTTTGCAGATTTTGCGGCCAGATTAATGGATGCAGGAGCTAAGGTGTTTGGAGATGCAGATACAGCTATGCCATTAATAGAACAGCTCATTTTTGAACAATGCACTAAGGAGTGTCGAGCCGCTATATTACCATGGAAAGGAAAAGGGATAGATGCTTGGATGAAAGCCTGTAGGGAAATAGGAGGACCATTAACTAATAACTAATGCACAAGATAACAGATCCAGGCACGGAGAAGGCCCCTGTGCTGAACAGGAGGATTCAGAACTGAGGCGACCTCGCTCTGAGAGGTAAGTATCTCGATAGATATGGGAGTGTCTGCTTCTTCACCCCTAATAAGAACCTTGAGTTCGCTAGTAAAAGTAAGAGGAATAAAATTGTCAGAACATGTGTTGAAAACTTTTTTGCAGGAGATTAAAAAGGAAGCGCCCTGGTTTGAGACCTCTGGGTCCTTTGACAGACAGACTTGGGGTAAATTAGGCAAAGAGTTAAAGTTAAAAAGAGAACAGGGGCGTCTTCGAGTAGGAGTGTATCCAATATGGAAAATTATTGATGCATGTTTTGAAGATGAGAGATGTTTAGATGTGTTGAGAGATGGACAGCTGGCTCTCGAGGAGCATCGAGATAGTTTATCAGAAACAGAGGAGGATAAAGATAAGAAAAGAGAAAGCAAAGAGAGACAGAGCTCGAGCCGAACAGAAAAGGAAAGAAAAGAGGAAGTTCTAGGGCTCCACAGCCAGGACCCTAGACGGCTGGGGGAGGATAAAAGGCTGTATCCTTCTCTAGCAAAATTCAAGCAACAAGAAGCAGTTAAAGAAGCAGTTAAAGAAGAAAATAAAAATCAGTCAACATTAGTGAGTAATTTTCAGACACTAGAAGTGAGCCGCACCTTTTCTGCTTCCTCTTCTGATGAGGAGGAGGAAGAAGAAGGAGCTCCATCGCCATCTTGGCGAAAACAGGAACAAAGAATTAGGGAAGTTAATCCGCCGTCTCGGGGAATAACAGAAATTAGGGAAGTTACACCGCCATATTGGGAGGCAACTGAAGTAAGATCTTCAGCGCCACCTGGTGGGCAAAATCTTTTGTCCTTTTGTACAGCTAAGAGTAGAAGAAAAATAGCCTTGGCCTTTCCTGTTTTTGAAGATGCCAATCAACAGAGATATCATGAGCCAATATCTCTTGAGCATATTAAAACTTTGGTGGAGGCAATGAAAACCTATGGAGTTAATGCTACTTACACACAGGTCTTAGTGGAGCGCTTGGGTAGTCTAGCCATGACGCCCAGTGATTGGTTTGGACTAGTCAAGGCTTGCCTAGGTATGGGCCAATATTTAGATTGGAAATCTTTATATCATGAAGGCTGTACCACCACACTGGCTATCAGAGAAGCCGGTATGGGTTCCTCAGTGGCCTCTTGTCTCTGAAAAATTGAAAGCCGCTCATGATCTAGTTGCTGAGCAAATGCGTTTAGGTCATTTAGAGAAATCTGTTTCCCCTTGGAATACACCAATTTTTGTAATAAAAAAGAAGTCAGGAAAATGGAGATTATTACAAGATTTGAGAGCCATCAATAAACAAATGCAAGTAATGGGAGGTCTACAAAGGGGATTACCTTTGTTATCAGCACTACCAAAGGATTGGTTTATTATTGTAATGGACATCACAGATTGTCTTTTCTCCATACCTTTAAATGTTAAAGATAGACCACGCTTTGCATTTACATTGCCTGCCATTAATCATGCAGAACCAGATGCTAGATATCAATGGAAAGTGTTGCCACAAGGTATGGCCAATAGTCCAACATTATGCCAATTGTATGTGGCTAATGCCATTCAACCAATTAGAGATAAATATGAGGAGCTAAAAATTTATCATTATATGGATGATATTCTGCTGTGTGGAGATTCCCAGGAGCAAGTACAGCAAGCTTATTCAGATTTAGAAAGAGCTTTAAGACGTGAAGGTTTGTTCATATCTCCATCTAAAGTACAAAGGGGAGATTCAATTTCATTCTTGGGGTCAAAAATATTCCCTCACAGCATTAAACCACAGAAGATCACAATTAGAACAGCTCAGTTATCCACCTTGAATGATTTTCAAAAATTATTGGGAGATATAAATTGGGTTCGTCCATTTTTGAAGTTATCCACAAAGGAGCTGCAGCCTCTTTTTAGTATTTTGGAAGGGGACTCCAATGTGACTTCTCATAGAGAATTGACAGATCAAGCACGAGAAGCCCTAAGGAAAGTGGAAGATGCAATTACAGGAGCTCACTTAGTGAGGATCTATCCAAATAAAAGGTTTAGTTTATGTGTTATCTCTACTGATCAATATCCTACAGAGGTTTTATGGCAGAATGGGCCGTTACTTTGGGTGCATCAGAATACATCATCAAGTAAGGTGTTATCTTATTATCCTGAAGCCGTTGCTCAAATCATAATGAAAGGATTGCAGGCAGCAGCAATGCATTTTGGAGATTATCCAGAAAAGATCATATTACCTTATACCCAAGAGCAACTTAAGGTGCTTTGTTCTTGTGTGGATTCTTGGGCCATTTTAAGATGTGCTTATGATGGGGAATTTGATAATCATTACCCACAGCATCCACTTTTGCAGTTTGCATTGTGTAAGCATCTCATTTTTCCAAAGAAAACCATGTCACAGCCCATACCGCATGCCTTAACGATCTACACGGATGGGTCAAGTACTGGTATTGGTGCCTATGTTATAAATGGGAAGTCTTTTCAGAAGACCTATGAGTTTACATCACCTCAGCAAGTAGAATGTGCCGTAGTTGCTCATGTGTTGCAAGAGTATCAAGAACCTTTAAATATATTCAGTGATTCTTACTATGTAGTCAATGCAGTTAGTAAATTGGAAGCCAC